AGAGACAGAGAGAGATTTAATGGGTATATTCTTTTTTGTGTTAGATTGTTTCTATTTGTTTGTGCTTGGCTTCCTTTTGCCCTCTGAATTCTTTCAGAACTGGAAGTTCTAACACAGCATAGATCTTACTCAGTTGTTGGTGTGTGTTCAGAATTGAACTCAAAGCAGTTTTGAGAATTTGTTGCTATTGCATAAGATGCATTGTTAGAGATTGGGTTAGATTTTAAAAAATCTTCCTTATTTTTATGTTGCCTGAAACACATCTGTACACTTATCATGCATTCCCATTTTCTAGGGTGTTCCTTTTAGTGTCCTTTATCCTTGAGTCATAACCAAGAGCAAGTGCCCTTTTCCTCTCAGCTGTATCAGATTGAATGAAGAATTACCTAGGCACCCTGTTGGCAAATGGCCTTGTTGAAACACGGAGAGGCTTGGAAACCCACCTATGCCATTGTTGCATGTCTTGCTGTTCTTGGAGCCCTTTATTGCATTGTGACCTGTATCTTTTGATATCCAGCTCGATCTTTAAAACACAGAAATAGAAGCTCTAACCATCTGTTATCAAAACCAGGTTAAGATTACAACCTCTCTGTGCCCCAGATACAGAAAGGGTCCCAGAGGATTTAGGAAGGATTTGATGACGTCTTTGATCTATACAGAAAAATTATAGTACAAAGCAGATCGATAGTTCTAAGCCATCCATTTTACCACTGTAAGCACTACCTTGAATCATGAGGATGCTCAAATGAAATTCTGGGTTGGAGAGTCAGAAAATTCTAATCCCAGTGATTATTCTAGGTGTTTTGTAGAATATGATTTCTTAACCTCCTCTGTTTCATTCATAATGTAGGAATAGCTTTAATGGTCTGTTTGATATGAGCACAAATGAAATGATAATAGGTGATCATTTGTTTATTAAAAGTCAGAAATCTCATAGAGGTTTCTTCATGTCAAAGGCAGTTTTAAGCAGTTTTAACTGTTTTTTAAAAAATATTCTTTCCAGGAAATCAATATATAAATGTCTGTAAGTACTACTAATACTGTAGAAACAATAATAATAAATAGTAGTGTTGCAGCTAGGTAATGTGATAAATTGAAATTTACAGTGATACAGAGATGAGGAGAGGCAGCCAACACACACATCAGTGAGGTAGTGGTAATTCAGTGCATAAGCTCCTTAACCACTTCACTCAGATGCTCCCACCTTGGGCTACAGGAAAATGGCACTTTCCCTGTGGTAATCCATGGCCAAACCTGCTCACTAACCGCTGTCAGTCACGTCAGGTCAGGTCAGGACAGTTATTCCTAAGCCCAAAGTGTTGTCTTTGGCAAACATGCTTTGGCACCAGGATGGGTAATTCTCTTCTGAACTTAAGGGCTGACCTGACTTTGTGTGAGAGCAGCATGTGACTAGTAAGCCTAGCAGCGACCATGGGACATGGAGCATGCTTCAGAGTTTGAGTCCTGCCTGATACTGTTGTGGCTCCTTTTGACAGAGCTAGAATGTGATTTCTACCCTTGCTGAGGGAGGTAAACTTGGAGGTATTTTAGTGTCAAATACTGAGGCTTCTCTTACATATTTTTAACTATTCAAACTGATCTGAAGGTATGTTGATGGCTTTATATAGAACAAGGCTGCCGTACAAATTGCTAAAGTTGTTAATACATGTCTTTTCCTAAGACTCGTAACTCTCCCTTCAACAACATCAGCCGCTGCTTGTGGATCTTGGTGGCATCCCTCCCCCCACCCGTGTGTGTGTGTGTGTGTGTGTGTGTGTGTGTGTGTGTGTGTGAGATTTTCTCTCTCCCTCTCTCTTGTGTAACATTGCAAATCAAGCAGAATTGCCCAGCAGGAAATAACGACTGACTAGTTCACTAAAGCCCTCTTGTAACAGTATTGCCCTCATTCTGTGCCTCCATTCTGGTCTTGGGAATAAGGATTGCTAAGCTGGGGGCCTTCAAGAGAGGTGTCCACATGTAGGTGTGCATGGATCCTAGATAAGGTCTGGGACAAAATGGCCAGAGCCCCTATCACACAGTTCCTGAGCAATGTGCCATCTTTTAGTGACCGTATGTAAATCCCCAAGTGCTTTGTTCTCCGCTCTCATGTTGAAGAATATATTTTAAGGTGTGCTGATTTTGTTTATGCTCTGGAACATTTGTTTAATGATGCAAAGATGTTTAATTAAATAAAATTAAATTCACCGGCTATTGGGAAGCTGAGTCAACAATTAGGAGAAGGGTTTATAAAGAGGGGCCAGAAAAAGATCGAGGACTTCTTGGAAGACACAAGAGGTGAGCTAGGTGAGCTGCTTGCTGTTCAACCTCTGTGGGCTTTTATCTTTCTTATGTATATCTACTTTTCTTCTTACTCCATCACTGGTCCCTGACTTCCTCCTCTCCTTGTTCTCTTCCTGCTCGTCCTAGGTTCTCCTCGTATCTGTACTCCGTGCCTGCCAGCCCTGCTTATTTTTGGTTCCTGTCTCACTATTGATGGTTCAGCTCTATTTGGACCACCGGGTGTTTTAGATAAGCGCAGGAACACAGCTTCACAGAGTTAAACAAATGCAGCATGAGTGAAAGTCACACACCTGAAAACAGTATTCTACCACACGCTCTTACTCCCTCTTCCTCAGTATTTAGTCCTGGCTGACATTCTAGCTTCACAGGTAATACGCTAAGCCCCCCATGTAAATTTTTGCTATAGCCCTCTAACTGTTGCTACAGCCTTTTAAATCACACTCTATAAAATCTCAGGTCTTTCCCAGAGAAGCCTTTAAAAAACACTGTAAGACTGTAACTAGTTTTTAATTGCTCTGCATCCAGGTCCTTGGAGCCTGGGCATTCCAGGTACAGCTGACATGTGGACTTTCCCCAGCTCACAGCTTCTCTCCAAGTCTCTATTCTAATGCCATCTCCCAATTAAAACTTTCCCGCCCACCCTCCCCACTCCCAGCATTTATGGATAGGAGTCTGTGTATTCTTTTTGTTTCTTAACTCTCTTAAATCCAGGCCCTACAAAGTTCAGCACGAAGTCATTTACTGATTAGTCATTTATTATGCTGCCTCTACATGGGGTAGACCAAGGGTGCCATTAAAGAGGAACCTCTTGTGAGATAGCTGTAGGATAAGGCCCTGGGTTCAATCCTCAGTTGTTGAATTGGGGAGAGAGGTATAACCTCTTCATTGCACAGAATTTGGAATGGCCCTGGTGTTGGGGACCAGCAGTCTGCTGACCCCCGCTCCCGACGATGGGCGAAGCTCATGGCCATGTCATCAGGCTTTACCTGGCTGCCAGAGGACTCAATTACGCATGCAAGCCCCCCTTTTAAAGCAAGCACACCAAGCCCCCCCTTGCCCTCTTTCTTGCTCTTTCTCTCTGGTTTTGTCTCTCTCTCTCTCCCTTCTCTCTCCCTACCCCCCCCCCCCCCCGCTTTCGGTTGGCTACCAGCTCCCTTCCCTCAATAAACTCCATGTGGGCGCTGAGTCTCCTGTTTGTGTTTCTTAGGCAATAGTTGTATCAAAAGAACAACACCGGGGATGAAACTAAGCTGAGTGTAGGGGGTGGTTTGAAAATCTAGGTAAAGTGGTTGGTATCTCATTTCAGGTGACAGCTCCTCTTTAAAAAAAAAAAAAAAAAAAACAACCAAAAAATTCTAAATCAAAGAGTTCACCGACCTGGGGCTGCAGTTTGGACAGGCAGGGGTGAGGCACTGTATTAAACAGGTATACTGGATTTGACATGGAAAGCTAAATGGTGAGTTTCCTAGCCTCATTTCTCTGTCAGGCTTCCTGAAAGCTAGTAGCTTAGGTTCAGGGAGAATAATTAAAAAGTCATTTTCCCCAGACATTTACATTATCCCAGAAAAGAAGGGGGTAGCTGGTCACAGATTTCCCTAAAGCCAAGTCCATGAAGCTTTACTTCCACCCATGAAAGAAGAAACAGGACTTCTGTGCATTGTTTTAACGCCTTTTTCTTAAGTGTGAATGGTTCAGGATCTCCAGGCATTTGAAGGGAATGTGATACAAAAGATTTTGTAATTTGTTTTTTCTGAAGGGTTGACAATTAAGAATGACAAGCCCACAGTGTTCTCTTAATGTGAATGAAAACTTGTATGTTGGCAGGTGGTACCCATGGCAAGGGGAGCCCCAAGCTGAGAGGTACTCTGAAAGCCAAACTGGGTGTGCAAGAATCCTGTAGAAGTTTTTCCTGCATTGAGATCAGTCCTGTGTTCTTCTGCTGGCCATTATTTGATATGACCTCAAACATTTACTTCTGTTGCTTTACATAAGGGCCAGTAACTTTATTTATTTACAATTTTTAAAATTTATATTACAATCTTGTTTTACATGTCAATCCCAGTTCCCTCTCCCTCCCCTTCTCCCCTGCCCCCCCCCCACTGACTCCCTCTCTCATCCCCTTTCTGCTCCCCGGGGGGGGGGGGATGAGGCCTTCCATGGGGGATCTTCAAAGTCTGTTGCATCATTTGGAGCAGGGCCTAGGCCCTCCCCCATATGTCTAGGCTGTGAGAGTATTCCTCTATGTGGAATGGACTCCCAAAGTCCATTCGTATACTAGGGATAAATACTGATCCATTACCAGAGGCTCTATAAACTAAGGGGCAATAACTTTATATCAAGGGCCAGATAATAAAAAAATATTAAGCTTTATAGGCCATTCAATCTACAGGTCACATTGACCTTAATTTGCCACTATAACAAAAGAGCAGCCTGAGATATTATATTAACAAGTCAAAACTTGGCAAATAAAAAGTCTGTAGAAAATTAAGTGATCCTAACTTGTAAGATCTCATGCATTCTTAATCTGTTGGGATTTTCTCTTTCTAATCATGAGATTTTTAAGGCTCTCTCACAACTCTTACTTTGTAGCTTTACTTTATGTCATGAAGGCAAATGGCCAGAGTAGGGTTCTCAAGGCAGTTATGTGTCACAGTCTGTTGACTTAGAGTCTAAGGACCATTGCTCCTCCTGTTTTACAGTAAGCCAATGATGGACTTGCTCGTGTTCCTCTGTGCACAGTACCACTTAAATCCGTCAAGTCACACAATTGATCTACTGTCTGCTGAAGATAATCTCATCAAATTTAAGCCAAACACACCAATAGGAACGCTGGAGGTAGAGAAGGTCATTTTAAAACCAAAGTCTCTGGACAAGAAAAAGCCTACACCAATAATCCCAGAGGTAAGGACTCTGTCACAGATTTTGATGTTTTTATGGCTGAGATAGTTATTTTTTTAGTCAGTGTTTATGGTTATTTCATCATAAGTGAAATAAACATAGACTTCTGGTCTAGCATTTTATAATGCAATTCTTAAGTTTTCCTAAACCACTTTGCTTGTTATCAGTTTAGGTTATTCATTCTTGGATCAGCTAGAATTGGGGGAAACAATTTAGATATCAAATGCTCTAAAAATAATTGGCTTGGCTACATCAGAATCTGACAGTAATCCATGTGAAGTTTAAGTTACGATTTAAAAATATTTTATGCTTAAATGAAAATTTTAAAACCAATGAATATTTAATATCATATTTGACTTCTGTATATTTTGTGAGTCACTAATACAACATATACCCAGATTACAGTTTATTATCCTATATAGTAGCTCGTCTTTCTTTTTTAATGATTTCTTTTTGTGAGTAGTAAGTGTTCAGGTGGATGTATGGAGGCCGGCAGAGGACACTCATTGGCTTTGTCATTCTCTGCCTTGTTCCTTTGAGGCAGGGTCTTTCCCTGAAGCTGGAGCTATTGTTTTTAGCTACTCTAGCAGCAAATGCCAGTGGTTCTCTTGTCTCTGATCCCCACAACACTAGGGCTGTAGGCATGTGTGCAACCACGCCTGGCCTGCTACATGGATCATGATTGTACAGCATGCACAGTTTATCACTGAGCCATCTGTCTATTCAGATCCTTAGATGTTTTTGTTTCCTTTTTTTTTTTATGTGTGAATTTTAACCAGAAACTTTTAAACACAATGATGCTAATTTATTCATTTGATATTCTTAATGTTATTTATTTGTCTATTTGACCAAACCCAGGATGTCATACCTGCTAGGCAAACATTCTACCAGTGTGCTGATGTCCATAGCACTTAACTTTTCTTTCCTCTTAAGATTATTCTCATGAAGTTATTGCTATAAACACAGGAGTATAAGTTTATAACTTAAAAAAATAGTTCTGAGTTACAAACATCAACATTTTTTACTTCATAAAATACATGAAATTTGTGCACTGATTTGAATAATACATTCTTACATATTGTTTAAAAGCATTTACTAAAAACGTTGACAACTTTCATGACAAAACATTAGCTTTAGTATGTGATTGAATGTTAAATATTAATAAGACAGTGGTCTGTCTTCTGTCTAGGTATGAATTATCTGCTGTATATACGTGCTATTGATCCATATTGGAGCAATTTTATTTATGTAACAAATAGCTTGCCAATCTTTGGATTCCCCTCAGTTACACACAGGTTTAGCTTTATGAATGAACATTACTAAGGATCTGAAAAGTGTATATTTTGTTTAGTGTAGTGACCTATTGCATACATTAATTTTTTAATGGGGGTTAATCCAGTTTCATCAAAATAGGGAGACACTTGAAAGTGTGCAAATAATTTTGAAATTACTAGTATTGTGTCTAAGTAAAGATGATTTTGATCTTCCTTACTATTATGTTAGAGTTAACTGGGGCAATGCTAATGTAAACAGCAAACATCAATGACAATATGTAGGATTCACTTACTGATAACTGACCATGTACCTGGCAGGATGCTAGTCTCTTAGTGTTACTGATCTGATTGATCCTGTTAGAAGGAGTAATAGTAGCTTTTGAAATACTTTGGTGTTTATTTTTTCAATGTGGCTATTAACAGGTTATTACAATTACAACACCAGCATTCTTTAAATAAAGGACAACATAAAATGTAGATGTTATTATTGTGTGTATTTGATAATTTGAAAATACTTTATAAGACACAATGTAATAATATTACTAATATTACATATGAGCCTTTGTTCTTGTTGGGTTTAAATCTGCAAGAGTTTTAGCTGGGTGGTGGTGGCACACACCTTTAATCCCAGCACTTGGGAGTCAGATGCAGGTGGGTTGCTATGATTTGAGGCCAGCCTGGTCTACAGTGCAAGTTCCAGGATAGCCAGGGATACACAGAGAAACCCTGTCCCCCAAAACAGAGACAGATAGATAGATAGATTGCTCAATCTAAATAGAAACAACCTTAAAAGAATTTTGAATTTAATTTACCAGTTATAAAAACAAATTGAGCTAGGCCTGGTGCATGGCTGTAATCGCAGATACTTAGTAGGCTTCAACAGGAGGATCACAAATTCAAGACTTACCTTGGCTATAGATTGAGTTCAGGTTCAGCCAGAACAATTAGTGACACTGCATCAATATCAAAATTGGAAATAGCTTAGTAGTTGTGCATTGTCTACCATGAATAAAACCTCAATACTGGTAGACTCTTCTGCCCTGCAAGCCTGCTTCCGAATAATCACACAGGAACTTTTTATTAATTATGAAAGCTCAGCCAGCTTTAGGCTTAGGCTTGTTTCTAACTAGCTCTTATAACTTAAATTAACCCATTTCTATTAATTTACTTTCTGCCTTGTGTCTTTGTTACCTTTTACTCTGTACATTCATGCTGTTTCCTCTCAGCCTGGCTGGCCACTCCCCACTTCTTTTTCCCAGCATCCTGTGTACTTGAAAATTCTGCCTTGCTATTGGCCATTAGCTTTTTATTAAGCCAATCAAAATGACACATCTTCACAGTGTACAAAAAGTTTATTCCATGGCATCTTAATCCCCAGGACCATTAAACACACACACACACACACACACACACACACACACACACACACACACACACACACACACACACACAATGTAGTTTTTATTTTCTTATAATGTGTTTTAAAATTAGGAAATAGCATTAATGAAAGAGAAAATTTTATACCAGAAGAAGAATGGAAAGAAATAATTGCTGAAGAATTATAAAGCCTGGAGTAATAGATAACTCTGGATAGCATTGCTTAGAGTATGTTTAATAAATGACCTGTGGTGTTAACTATTTAATTCACATGTTACAGAACCTAGAGTTGTGGTCTATTATTCTAGATACCATTCTAGATGCCATTGTGGAAATTTTGTTTTAGTAAATAAATTAGTTTGTAACTGTGGCTTTAATTTACATTTCAGAAAACTGTGAGAGTAGTGATCAACTTTAAGAAAACACAGAAGACCATAGTGAGAGTTAGTCCCCATCTACCACTGCAAGATCTTGCTCCTGTTATATGCAGTAAATGTGAATTTGATCCATTGCATACAGTGTTGTTGAAGGATTATCAGGCTCAGGAGCCCCTGGACTTGACACAATCTCTTAATGACTTGGGACTGAGAGAGTTATATGCAATGGATATCAACAAAGGTAAGTTTCCCCCTACTTGAGTGGTGTGTGTGTGTGTGTGTGTGTGTGTGTGTGTGTGTGTTGTGAATCAAAATGCCAAGGATTTAATGGATCAGTCATATAGATAGAAGTGAATGCATCCTATTGAGGGTAAGAAGAAAAAAATAGGTTGAAATAAGTAAATCAAACCAAGCATACATTTTAACTTGGTAGCAGTTATTGAAATGGTCTTCTTGGCTGTCATCAACATTTTATATTTTTCTGTCAATCTAGGAATTCTTTTGGTAGTTTTGCATTTTATTTAATTTTATTTCTGTTTCATTTTGTGTATTAGTGATCAGGTCTCATTGGGATACCTAGCTTGGGCTTGAACTTCTGAGCTCAAGGAATCCTCCTATCTCTGCTGATTCAGTAGTTTAGGATGACAGGCTTGTGCACCATGCCCTGCCTTGGGTGGAATTTATCGTTATTTATTGTGCATTTTGAATTTAAAAATAAAGTATCTATTTATGTGCATGCCCATGCTGTTCTATGAAGCAGTTCTTAGTTTATAAAGATTTCATATAGTTTTGTATGAGGCTTAGTTATTATCACTCACATTTGAACATTTTTTTTTCTGAATTCTTTTCTTAGGTCATTACCCAGACAGAGTAAATTAAACATGCATATAAAGTGAATCATAGATAACTACCAAAATTTTCTAGATAGGCATGCATTAAAATGTGTCCATCTCAAATGAAGTTGGTTTTTTTGTTTTTTTCCTGGTGCCTGGTAGACCAAGGCTGTTAGATTATTCAGTGTGAATCTCCTTCATTTGGGGAAATAAGGGTTTAGTGGAGGAGACAGTTAATGCACACTGCACAGAGAATTTCAGACATTCTTCTGAGGATGTGGTACAGTGTAATCCACAGACTACTGTTAATTTATTTTGTTTTCTGTTTTTTTTTTTTTTTTTGGAGGGGGGCGATAGTTCTAGACAGGGTTTCTCTGTATTGCTTTGGAGCCTGTCCTGGCACTTGCTCTGTAGACCAGACTGTCCTTGAACTCAGAGATCTGCCTGACTTTGCCTCCTGAGTGCTGGGACTAAAGGTGTGCACCAAACTACTGTTTTGAGTCAGTGATATTTGGTAGTTAATGGAGAGCATCATCACAGTCATTTCCCCATTTTTACTCCCTCTTGCTGTAGCCCCCTCCGTTACTGCCTTCAATAAGTCATCCTTCCAAGGTAAGATACAGGAATCAGTAAACTGTAAATTACAGCACAGAATTGGGAGGATTAAAGTTGAGATTCTGATTGTAACTTTCTTAACATTACTAACACAGAGAATCCTGGGGGTTTGATTTCCTTAAAAAGAATTTATGGGTTCCCTTCTTTGATTTCTGGTTCTAATTATAACAATTTCACTTCAACAGAATGATTGGTGATGTCATTCTAGAGCTGGGAGTAATAGTATAGATCTGTAATTCTAGTACTCAGGGGGCTTTTGAGGATTCTGAGTTTGAAGTCAGTTTGAGCTACAAGTGTTAAACAAAACAAAACAAAACAAAACAAAATCCCAGACACTAAAAACAGTACTGAAAATGCATCATGCTAAAAGTCTGGGAAGATCTGAGAAGACCGGTTTGCTCTCTGATATAAGAGATATAAGTAAGTTGGATGGGAGCCTGCTTGGATGCAGTGAGGGCAGACCCTTGGGAGGTTCCCGGGAAGGTCTCAGCTGCTTCTTATTGAGCAGCTATTGGGAAAGGTGGTACTTCTCCCCCACCTCCTTTTTAGAGCATTGTTTTCCCTTTACCACCACTTAGTTTTGAATGAAAATTTATTCTAACAAAAATTTTTATATTAAAATTAGCTTTAAAAGCTTAAAAAGACATTTCACGTGGTATGTAAAAATGTTCTGTTTTCTGAAAGAAAATACATAAAATGTTTAATAGTGATTAGCTTTGTGGGACAGGTCTGTGAGCAAGTTTTCTTATTTCTTTGTGTTGTAGGATTTATAATGAATATGTATTACTTTCATTGGAAAATTGATTAAAATTATTTAACAATGGGATCTAGGAATCTTCTTCCTCTGTTACAAAAGGGTAGGTTGGGATCTCTGATTTGTCTGATTGTTACTACTCTGCCTAGCATCGAAACATTATTAAACTGCATATGACATGTTGCCAGGCTTTTCTGATTAAGCCAACAAGAACAAGTGTATGTTGATTTATTCTTGGTGTCTCTTATAGGCTAGTCTAATCAAAGAAGCTAAAAATTCCTATTTTAAATATACCCTGGCAGAGAATCAGGAACTAGGCTCTTTCATTCTGACTCTCAGTGGCTGATAGGCCAAGGTGGCAAGCTTCGATGGAGGAGATAGCTTTATGAGGCTGGATTCTACTTCTGTGACAGTCAGGAAATGGGAACAGATAGTTTTTGTTTCCTTCTGGAAATGGTGCTTGTAATTGGCTTGCTCCTCACCACATTCCATGATCTTCTTTAAAGTGTTTAACACACTGATTTCTAATGTCCCTTTTATACCCTAGCCTTCCATGTATGAGGTTTCTCAGAGGCTTAATTGTTGTGAACAGAACCTGCAGGGTGGAATTGTGGAGTAGTCAAAAGAGCTCATTTTACCATGCCAGAGTCCAGCAGGTCAATTCAAACCCTACAGATGTTCTTACACCCTGATTTGGTGGGTTGTCATCAGAAGCCTTCAGAATTTGTGTGCTGTAGCTTTTGACCTCTCTTCTAGAATCAGGAAGCTGCAGTGCCTGAGCTGATTTCCTTAATAAAGGCAAAGCTTCACATGTCTCAGTGTTTAACTCTGACAGCTCAGTGATCTGCACACAGCTTTAAGTGAGGAGGGCTGACCTGGTGTGAGGGGTGACCAGCTGTCCAGAAAGAAGCATCATTTGACATATTCTGGCTACGCTTGCTGAATGGCTCCACTAGTTTTCAAGTTGTTCAACTCTCAGGTCACTTGATTTCTGAAATGTGAATGGAATGCTGATTTTTTTTTTTTTTTTTTTTTTTTTTTTTTTTTTGTCACACCACTGGCTAACCTATGCCAATGGGGGGAAAATAGCTCAAAGTGAAGCTTTTATTTCTTTCTTCACAGGGTTTTCGGAAATAAAGCATATGGAAAACCTTTAGCCTTGAAGTACTGTCCATGTCCCTTGGTTATTTGTTAGCCTCAAGGAGGCCCTTGTGCAGCGAGTGCCGCTTATTTCCTGTCTGAGTGATTGACGGTGTCAGTTTGTGAGATAGAGTTTTCCTATAGTATGTTACTGTGACACAATGCATTAATACGAGCTTTGGTATTAACTTTTATTTCCACTGCTGAGATAAAAATGCCCTGACCAAAAGCAACTTGAGAAGGCAAAGGTCCTGATCACAGTCTATTTTACTGAGAGGCTGAGGCAGGAACTCAAGCAGGGCAGGGATCTGGTCACAGGAATTGAAGCAGAGGCCATGGCTTCCTCAGCCTGCTTTCTCATACAACCCAAGGTCACCAGCTCCGAGATGACACCACCTACAGGGGACTGGGCCCTCCCATATCAATTATTAATCAAGAAAATGCCCCACAGACCTGCCTACATGCAACCTGATGGCCTTTTCTAAATTGAGATTCCCTCCTTCCAGATGACTGTAGCTTGTGTCCCATTGACACATACATACATATATAAACAGGCTCCAGCGAGCACGCACACACGCATGCACACACGCACGAACGCACGAAACCAGCGCACACTTTCTGCTTCCCTACAGTAGTAGTCTGCTCATTGCCACTATTTGTTTATTTTTTTTAAGCTCCTTATATTACCATCACTTAAGTACCATCACTTAAGATGATACATTTACTTCTCATCTAAGTCATCTCTCAGATTTTTATGCAAAGTGCTTTGTCTCCAATATCATTTAAAAATGCACTGATTTGCATAGAATTCTCATTGTTTTTTAATTTTTATTTATTTTGTGGAAGAGATACTTTCACAATTTACTCCCCACCCCTTTTTGAATTTATAAGTTTTTTACTAAAGGCACCAAGTCTTTTGCCTTCCATGATTCATCTCATAGTCTGTCTATTCCAGGACTGGTCCCATGCACCCTGTGGGTATCACTTCACCTACTTATTTGTTCCTGTCAGCTGACTGTAAATCTAGAGACTTGACGGGCTTGGGTGAGATAATTTGTGGCAAGAATACTTCATAACTACCAAATGATCCTTGTCTGTATCTCCTCCTCAGGAGGTGGAGGAAGAGGATTGTGTAAGTCTTGGGCTCCAAGGCCACCCTGAGCTGCACAGAGATGCCTTCTCCAGGCAAACAAAACACCCTTCATAAATAATGGTTTGTGCCCCCACTTAGAGACACAGTAATAACAGCGCTGATCATCAGCTTTTGCTGTGTGCATCTCAGTAAGGAACTGAAAGGAGGTGGTAGTCCTATGCAGTCTTCCTTTTAGCTACTAGCACTTTTTTTTAAATCTTGTGTATATGAATGTGGGGGGAGCAGGGTGGAATGTCTGTACAGGAGTGCGTGTGCTATGACACACATGTAGCAGACCGCAGATTTTGTTCACTGTCGTTGTCCACCTCATTCGAGACAGGGTCTTTACTGGTGTGCATGCTAAGCTAGAGGGCCCACAGGCTTCCAGGGATTCTCTTGTCTGCCTCCCATCACATAGTAGGAGGGCTAGGATTTTAAATGTGTGTTCTCTTGTTCTGAACTCAGTTCCTCATGCTCATGTGACATTTCAGTATATACAGTTACTTTTAACGACAGCAAATCATCCTGAATTTTGCCAGTGCAAACACTGACTCCTTTGGCATGATTCCCAGTGAACTTTGGTAACTTTCTCCATGATGTGATTAGTTGTTTGTAGCTCATTGCTTTATACAAACAGCAAATTAACTAATTCAAAGCAGCCATGGTTCCTTCCAGTGTGACACCATTTTGGAAGTATACTGGGACGAAGTGGCCTAGCTGTTGACTGTCCCTTGGTTATTGACCTCTTCAGTTGACATTAGGGAATAGACTTTTTGAGGGGGATGGTTAAAGAAGGATTATGGATACAACCTTGAAGTTTGATGATTGCCATTCTAACTAAAGTCCAGTTTTAGCACTGTTATCCTTTAGGGCCTGATCATTTCAGCCATACTAGAACTACTAGGTTAAACGAATAGCATTTGTGAGGCATTAGTTGATTCATCCTTCCCTCGGTGCGTGGGGGAGATTGGTTCTGAACCCTTGTGGGCACCAAAATCTTTGGAAACTCAAGACCTTGATAAAGAATTGCTTAGTGTTTTCATATAGCCTGTATGTGCCACCCCTCATATATATTAAGTCATCTCAGGACTATTTGTGACACTCGGTACCTTGTAAATGGTCACTATGGCAGGTTTTCAATCAGGAATGGTGGCAAGAGAAAAAAAAAATCTATATGTATTCAGTACAGGTTTAATTTTTCTGGGAGCACTTTTCATTTGGGGTTTGTTCTGATCCATTAAAGTGTACTTGCATATAGACAGGCAGCTGTAACTATAATGGCTCATGTTTTGAGAGTGAAATAACACTTCATGATTGTTTAGCTCTGACAAAATTATATCTGAAATAAACAAAGGAGAAGCTGTGAGGAAGAAGCACCATGTGTCACTTACTGTGCTGTACCCTTCTTACTTTGCCTCTGAAATGCTGGTAATGATACCGTGCTTAAGGAGTTGAGTTCACTGTTTTCGCTCTGCCTCTGGACCCTGGCTGTGTGTCTTAGCCCTCTTAAGCTTTGTTTGCCTCTGGTCTAAAGCGGTAACGGTATTCTCTTGTTGCTTTGAGAATCGGATAAGGTATTTGCTGCTTAGCAGAGTGGCTATAGCTGGTAACATTCATCATCAGAAAAGCTTTTGAAAGGAGAGCCTAGAAAAGAAACACTGTGGAAATGAGTTACACCCGTGAACAAAAAAAGGAAATTGCTTTTTATCTTTTGTCAGAGTCCTGCCAAATATCCCAAACCCCGGACATCGTGAAGGAGAAAGAAAACAGAGGGATCTTCAGCTTTTTCCAACGCAGTAAGAAAAAGCGGGAGCAAGTAAGCATTTTCGTGCAACGTGTTAAGATTCGCAAGTATTTTAAAAGCGGTTTTTGGTTTGATTGTAAGCGGTCATTGCCTTTTGATTCTCCGTTAGACCGCCAGCGCGCCTGCGACCCCACTCGTGAGCAAGCACCGCCCGTCTTTTACGAGGTCCAACACAATTTCCAAACCCTACATTTCCAACACGCTACCCTCGGATGCACCCAAGAAGAGGCGGGCCCCACTCCCCCCCATGTCCACATCCCAGGGCACTGGGCAAGGTCAAGAGAGGCGAGCTTCGTGTGTGGAGAGATCTACCAGTGTGGACGACAATGACAAGGTGTGCTGGGTTGGTTTGTTTGTGATTGATATAGGGAGGTATCTGTTTTTCTCTCTCTAAGTTGTCCATTCCCACATAGGCTACTGACAAAGAAGCAGTTTTTAAAATGCACTCAGTAGAAATGTTACTGACAAGATTGATAGAAAAAGGTCGTGGATACTCCTGCCATATCTTGAATGAATGTCAGTTTTAAAAAGCTTCCATCTTCAATATAAATTTCATCTTGCTTTACTTCTCTCAGCTGGACTATCAACACTGTTTTCATGTATTAGGAATTAAATGCATATCTTCAACACATACCTTCTAAACAATGACATGCATCTGTATGTTCCATTCTTGGGTTTCTAACCTTTGGTATCTTCAGAGATTCTTCAGGGGGAAATCCTGGTGTTTGCTTGATCTGTCAATGTTGTTTTTTAAAACAAGCCTTTTACTAGAAAATATGCTGCTGTTTTACTCATATTGTCTATCCAGAGGGGGTGTTCTACATAAAGCTTTATCAATTTACCAAAAACAAGCAAACACACAAACAAAAAACTTATTTTAGTATGGGTGTGTGTGTTGTGTGTGGCATGTGGAGGTTAGAGAACAATGTGGTGTATTCTGTCCTTCCAGCATGTAGTCAGCTCCAGGGATCGAACCTGGGTCATCAGGTTTGGTGGAAGGCCCCTGCCCTTTTACCAGCTAAGTTACCTCCCCAGACCTCTTCAGCTTAAAATTAAAATATTTAGGACTAAAGTTTCCCTGAATATATCTTTTTGTGAGATCCATTTGTCTAAATATATCTATACTTCTTTTGCTTTATTGAGGTGGAGCGTAAGTGAGATTTGGGTAAACATAACACCATCTGTTTTATTGTTTATTGTCAGGAGGAGTAATTTAAGTGACATTGATAGTGAAGTGCATTTTGAGTTAACTTATTAGACCCCAAGTGGTGCTCCAGTATTGAAGCTGACAGATGTTATCCCCTGCTCAGGATGGTTAGCGACTCAGAGAAATAAACTCTTTACAAACTAAGTATTTTCTTATCTAAGTTAATGTTGTGGCATAAAAATCTTCATAAGAGTAATTACTTTCCCTTCTGAGACAGTCATTTACTGACAAAACTTGCAGGGTGTTCGTTCTGTAGTTGGTTGGTGGTTCTCAGAAAAAGATCTCTGTGTTTAGTCATAGATGTGTGTGGGAGTACAATCGTTGGGTGAAAAACTCCTCTTGGATTCCAGAAGTCAGGGATAAGGCATGCTTGGGCCTGAGCAAGAGCCAGACTGCAACAATGCAAGGAAGTAAGGACAAGGCTGGTCCTAAAGGCTTCTTTTTGTGTTACAGCCCCTTTCCACTACTTTATAGGAACAAGAGCCTTTCGAAGATTACTTTCCATTTTAATTACCTTAAAGCTGAATATAAGTTTATAAGAATATAAACTACTATAAGCTTGTGTAGCTTCCAAACTCTTCTTTTACAGAATTTCCGTCTATTACAGCTGTCCTCATTCAGGCCAACCCAGTAGCTTTGAGTGCTTTGATTCCCGGGGAGTCTGGGTCATCTAGCATCTGCCTTGTACAGGTCTGAGCTGTGGCACCAGCGACCTCATGGGAGGCTGGTTCTTTTGATTCTCACCCTCCACTCTGTGACCACTTGGTGCCCTGTGTTAAGTAATTTTTTTTTTTTTTTTTTGTATATTGCCTTTGGCAAATTACACATCTTTATGCAATTTTCTGATTATTTCATCTTTTGATCTGGACATCTGGGTATTTCTTTGATGTATTGTTCAACAGGAACAAGAATTATTTGTTTTTCCTAAGAGAAGCTGAAGAACCATTTTTTGGGGGGGGTTGTTTATTCATTACCAAAATCCTTAACGATTAAGATGAAGTTGTTTGTCTATTTGTGTCTGTTCATGTACACACATGAACTCATGCCTTCCTAGGCATTCTCAGCACTTAGACTCGTGGCTAGATTTTATGTGACTAATCACCCTTCATTTAACTCTTCCTTAATCTTCATGGTCTCCTTATAACTTAGCAGTGCCCCCCCCCCCCACCCTTTAAGTAATACTGTTACCTTCTTTATCCATTACCCATTTTCTATACAGGCCATACTTGAATCTATGGGCTTAAGTACACTTACTAAACTCTTGAAGAAAGGGTATTTATTTTGTTTTGAATTTGCGAGTGGATCTCAACGTCAGTGGTTTGAGTGATACCCCTCTAAGAGTTGTAGTCAGGTCCTAATGTAACCAGGGTGCAGATTCTGGGGTTTAGAATCCACCAAATGGCCCATGCCATGAGTATTTTTTAGGCCCCTGGCTCCTCACCTTGCCCCTTGTTCTTGTTAGAAACCCGCCCTTGTGCTTCCCTACCGTTTCTCCTCACAGTGCCTTCTGGGAATAAGAATCCCACTTTTCTGGAAGCCTGCTTCCATTTTACTTGTCTACATAAGTCCTTCTGACCCTTTTCATTAAGCCCTGAGGCTTATAAATATGACTTGACTTAGAAATAGAGTGTGTGCATATGGGTTTCAATTTGGAGGTACCACTATCTTGCTTTAAGTTGAGCCTGAATGCAAAGGCTAGGATCCATATTAGATGATTCACAGCACGGAGACAGAAGAGAAGGCCATGTGAAGACCCAGGCCAAGCTGGGTGTTCTGTTATACAGGAACACTGGAAGTCACCAGAGACTACAATAGGCTCTCCACATGCTCTGATTTCAGACTTCTGGCCTTTAGAATCCCGTTTTAAGCCATTATGAGTTTTTATAGCTTTCCTAGGAAACTACTATGCCAACTTTGTAATTCCAGTCTTTATATTCTTCCTGTTAAATTTCAACACATGAATACTGACTCATCACTGTATGGAAATCAGCATATCTAACACGCAGTCCTGTTTTTACATTGTATTCAAAAGTTCAAACTCATCTTGGTGTGTGTTTGTTTCATAGTTTTCATGTCTATTAGAGACCAGGCTTTTATGTATTCTCATAGTGTCTCTCATTCCCTTTGCTCAAGTCATTTCCAAAGAAATCCAGAGTAGAGAGTCAGAAGAGAACATACTTAACTTGTCTTCATATTGCTCTTTGTGGCTGGCTGACAAATTTGTGTTTCTAATTTACCATTTCCCAGGTCAGCCATCATTTTGGGGTTCATAATTTTCTGTTCAAACCTCTGTTCCTTATCAGTGCCAAGATTCTTTGAACGCTAAACAGGACATGTGAGTCGTTGTTGCTCATGTGAAGTCTCACTTCTCACCCTTTCAGAATGGAGTGATGCTGCCTCTGTCTTCTGTGTCATCCTTCTCCACAGAGTTGCTTCTTAATGAAGAATGCTCTACAGAGAATAATCACTTTCTCTGAATCTGTCTTGAGTGTTTTGATTTGTGTGAGCCTATTGGTTTGAGTCTTACATAAGTTATAGTGAACTCTTGAGATGGCATTGTTTATGTTCAAATATTCATGAAATTCAGAACATAATCTGCTTATGAATGAATGTTACTTTGTTGATATTTTGTTTTAAATTTTAAATAAAAAATATAAATTTTAATGAAGTTTTCTACATCTACTTGAAGAATTTAGTTGAAATTTTAACAAACATTATGTTTCTAGTCATTGAAAGTAATAGCAATGAAATATGAAAACATAACTAAAAGAAAAAAAATACGTGTGACCGAAGCTGCTATTGCTTGTGATACAATGTAAACCACAAGGGTGCGCTGTTTAACAGAAGTACAGCACTCCAAAACATCTTTTAAAAAAAGGATAATGTTGCAATGGTTATGTTATGTTAGAAATCCTTATTTTGTTTGGTAAAGTGACAGAAAAGTAAACATTTATAATGAACAACATTTTCATTTTAACCTTTGGTTCACTTTAGTCCCCTTTTAAGTAGCCACTGGTTTAGTAGTCACCTTCGTTAGTTAATCAATACTTAAAGTATTAACTACATCTCTTCTACTTTTGGCTTTCCATATTTAATAATTTGCTTCATTCTTACAGGACATTTCTCAACATTGGCAAACTGAGATACTTGGATAGTGATTCTGGAACAAATTGTGGAATGTTTCACATAGCTGACTGTTGATTTTCAGTATAATTTTGACAGTTGCTTGTGCTCTTCCCAAAAGTGGTCATTAAACCAAGTTAACAAAACACTCTATCCCGATCTTTGTGGGATTTCTTCATCTAAACATGTTATCTAAAGAATAAATTTAACTGATGTTCCATTTAAGTCAGTGCTATAACGTCTTTTTCATGTACATAAAATTTTCTATACACTTTGGCATGATTTTCAGCCCCATGTAATTTTCTCTATAAAGGTGAAAATGTTCATTTCAAAATGAGTTTCCAATTGGAAATTTTCTAGTAGTTTTTCCTGAAACTTTTCTGAACATTTTCTTAAGCAAGTTTTTTTTTTTCCCCCTAGTGATTTGAAATGTCATTTGTGTTTCAAGGTATATGATATCCAGCCTTTGTCGTTTTATGTATGAACAGTTAACATGGCACTCCTATGTGTAAACATATAAGATCAGATTGTCAAACATAGTGGAATTGACTTAGATTAAAACTAATACAGAATTTTAGAATTAAAGCTAAGTATAGGCACATGATTCCTGTACCCATTTGTTGTCTGTTGGGAACACATTTATCAAAATCAGCAGGCAGAGGATGGAGGCCTTCCCTCTTAGGCCAGTTAATCTCTTAGACTGGGGATAGAAGAGTTGAAAAGAAATGGCTGGAAATCTTCACCCACACAATTCTGAAAACCTTTGGAGAATTTTTTACTTGCATATTTTGTGTAGCTTTAGTGCTTAGAATCCTGGGCATACAACAATGGATAGCTTTTCCCCTGGTCACTAGCATGGTGTTTGACCTCCTTTGGGATAGGGTTGTGGCTGAAAGCACAGTAAAGAGATAATCTCTACTGGGCATTTCATTTGGTCTCAATTTGCATGCCGCTACAGAAAACGTTCAAATATTGAGAAACTGGAACTTCTTGCCATCTACTAT